AAAAGTAAGTTCACATGGCCATCCTTTTTATTTTTAGTTAAAGTTGGAACTTGTGGACTTTTTCTTTTGCAATATATAAACATTGATTGAAACATCATTTTGCTTTTCAAAGCTGGGATCTGCTTTATTCAAAGTCGATAGGATTCCTTTCACTTTGAGAACAGATGATAAACGGCCTGCATTCTTTTTCGAAGAAACAGGATGGAGAGCTGACGTAACTGCCCAAGCGAAGCATGTTTCATCATTGCTTTTAACATTGATACAAGCGTGTTTTTTCTTAATTTGGGTAGGCAACTCGATGTACGATTATATACATTTTTTTTTTAATTCACCCCCAAGTTGACCACCTTGTTAACAGTCGCATGTGGACCCTATACGTGTACCCAGAGAACCTGGAACAGGGGGGTTAGTGAATGACCCCAGTATTTTAGTTTCTGCGCGGCCTCATTTCTTTTTTTATTGCTTAGTGACTATAAGAAATACAAAAATACATTAAACTTTAAAAAATTTATTTTTTATAAATTATAAAACTCTAAAAAATAAGACGACAAAGACAAGAAACATTTGAAGTAATTTAGCAAGTTGTGCATTTCCTCGTAATAATTTTTTCTTCACTAGTGGTGTGTCTAGGGCAAATATATTTTTCGCATTCACTACAAGCCTTCATATACTTCCTGTTTTCAACAGCCCTACGCGTTGCAATTCCTATTGGTTGGGTTACGACATTACCCCTTGAAATAGCTCCTGTTTTATCACAATTAAATCCAAAAATATGTAATGCATTAACATATAGTGTTTGTAATCCTCTAACTTGAGAACGATGTTCCATATTTAACTTACAAAGTTCTTTTCCGAGTTCTTTTAAAAATACTTTACGTCCAGAGTGGCGCGTAGGATTTTCATTGGCCCATTTTTGGTTTGCTTTTGAAAAAATCACATATGCATTATATGCAGCTATGTCAATTAAATTTAAAAAAATAGCAATTGGCCATCTTCTTGTACCTCGTCGGCAACTGTAGGTACGAACGCATTTATCAAGGGTATCAACACCTGGTTTCGTAGAATTATAATACAACTTTTCTGGGTTTAGGTACGTAGCTTACTAATGATACCTTATCCCTAAAAGCAAACCTAACTGTCCCAGGTGCACATTTTCCAAAAGTTTGAGGTCTCATTTCTAGTGGCACGTCTTTTTTATTGCTCATTATGGTACCAACAACAGTTATCTTTTTTTTTTAATAATTCCTCTGTAGTAGAAAGAGATTTGAATTTTCTATCCATTGTAATATTTCTGCCAGAGTTTTCTAATTTCGACAAGATTATTAATCGCTTTACAACTTCTGGACCGCTATTGTGATTTTTTGTTCGATTTTCTACTTTTCCAGCATATGGTTCTGCAGCAAAGCAATAGTAATTTTCAGAATCGCAGAGTACATTTGCCTCTATTCCATACTTTCCAGGTTTTGTAGGTATAAACATGCGAAATTTGCATCTACCATGAAATGTAATCAATTCTTCATCAATTACAACTGATTCTGATGGATTTAAAAAGTTAGGAAATTTCGATGTTACGTTGTTTTATAACTCACGGGCGGCAGCAAAATTGTCAGTCATTTTGCGCTCATTACGAGTGATAGAATCATCAAATCGAAGGCATTTTAGTAATAACAGGAGTCGACGTTTTGCAATTGTAGCACGATATATCGGTAAATTATCCTCTGCAAAAAGTTCATCAACGCGATCTCTATTTTGTTTGTATGCGCCACCCGTTATCAAAAAGCCAATATATCCTAAAATTTCATCTTTTACAAAATCTTTTGATTTTCTTATGAACAAACTTTGGCTTCGATTTTTACACTTTGCAGCTTTTGATTAGTTTTGTCCAATATGAATTCGATTATTTTGTCGTCAAAAAACAATCTAAAGGCATTCAGGGTCGAATGAGGGTTTACACCAGCTTTTAGGCCAGGCGCGTCTCGCATTATATTTGCCGCGATTTGTCGTCCGCGAGCCTTTGGTAGTGTTTTCCATTCTACACCCGATGGAGCTACCATATTATGACTTGCCTGATCAACCACGGCCGACGGACGAGGACGGCGTCTCGAGATTACTGTAAATATTTATAATTTATAGAGGGTTTATTGTTATTATTATTATATATTTACCATCAGCAACGACAACGTTCTCACTGTGTCCATTCTCATCTTCTGCATCTGAGGAGCTGTTTTCGTTATGTACCCTAACTAAATAAGAAAAAACATTATAAAATAATTTTGTACAGCCTATACTTATAGTTTGTTTGGTTTCCATCTCCATTTTCGGACTCATCTGATTCTCTTTCCACAATAGGTTGATCGCTTTTAGATTCCGAATCTGAAGTTGCTAAATCTGGATCTACGTAATTTATGTCAAAGTCAGTGTCATCATATAAAGCCGCTTCAAGTTCCTGATCAGTCAAACATTGTCCAGACATGATTGGAGGTTAGCCATAATGACTTATATAGGTTCACAATATATTAAAGCACAAAGTCATAAAACAACACTTAAAAATTTTTAAGTTACAAAAAAATACAGCCAAAAATATGAACAGGGGTCAGCAGCTGACCTCCCTGTTCCATATGCGACTGTTAGGGTCTCAAGCACTATCACGTTTTCAAATTTCATTGTTGTGGGATCCATAACGTTCTCCTTACACCATTCATCAAGTACACTATCTTCCTTCGCTAAAAAAAATTAAAAATAAAAAAACCTAAAAAAAAATTAAAAAAATAAACAGATAAAACAAAGCAATTATAGAAAAAAATTTATTAAATAGGACAAAAACAATAATAGAACATTGGATAACCTAAAAAACAACAAGAAGCCTGAAAAAAAATCATTATATTATACGTGTGGAAGTTACCCCCGCTGTCGAGTAACCCCGTTTATAGGTAAAGCAGAATTTACGTTTACAGGTTTAGTCATCATATTGAAAAACTCTTCGGGGTTATTTACAATTTTGGTCTTTGGCTGGTTTTCTTGCTGACCCAATTTCCCCCAGAAACTGTTTAACATCAATTTGGCTAAACATCTAAGCCCTGGGTTCTTTAATATAGCATGGAATTCTAATCGTATTCCCTCACGATTAAAAAAGTCCTCATTATATTTGTCTCTTTATTCTTTCGAAGAACAATTTGATGGCCACCCTGAAGCATCTTGTTTGATCTTGATGAACTTGTTCATCATTTCAACAAATAACCCTTCAGTTTTTCGATCAATATTGTACTGTTCAATTGATATTTCTATACCTCAAAAATGTGCAGTATTACGTACCCCAATTCAACAGCCTTGTTTACTTCATCTATTACCCAGGTGCCTGTTCGTGCGCGGTATTCTTCGTTGTGTTGGCATTCTTCACCGTTCAAATTTTGTCCATAGGTTCGACAGAGAACAAACATCAGCTTGCACACATTTTATTAGCCTATCTAAATTATGCAAATTTTTTAATGATTTACATTGTTCGCCAACAAAAACCTGGAGATAATAATCTCGGTTTAGGAACAGAAAACATTGTTTTATGGTTAGGATCTACACATGATTCTAGACTTTTTTTCAATTTTATGCAGGTGATTTAAAGAAGGGTTCTTTCAATTTTAGGCCTATTAAGCCCTACTTTTTAACAACTTTGCATGGTACTAGAGCTAAAGATGGTATAATGAATACCAAAATAAAATCAGTATACAAGGGGGTAGCTCCTGGGCGCAAGGGGTAGGGGTGAGAAACCAAATTTTGCCATGAAAAGTTGTCCCCCTCGATATAAAACTTTACGTGTCTCGGCGTTTTTTCAAAAAAATGTCAGGTTCCGAGAAATTTAGGGTGGTTCGTTTTACACACTATATATATACATTTGGTTTTCAGGAAATCTTGTGCTTTGTGAATATGGCGCCTCGTCGTTTAAAGCATTTAGGCTTTGCAAAGCCTGGGCTCGGTGTTCGACAATGGAGAAATTAAGTTTTCTCATGGCCCGCAAAGTTTGAGTCAGTTCCCGAACGTTGTACCACGACATCATTGCGTGAAGTTGAGCGGTCTGAGGGTAAACGTTGTAATTGTGATTAGCCATTGGTACTTGGCGTTGAATTTCAGCTAGACCTTGTTGCAATTGCAACTCCAAACGTTGCCTTTCCTCTTCTCTTTCTCTTTGAACAGCTAGAATTTGCTCCTCGGCTCTCAGCCTTTGATCAAAAGCCTCTCTCTCTCTCAGAGCTTCTGCTGCGGCAGCCTGTTCCCTTTGTGTTCTCTGCTGAATTTGCCCGGACAAACTTCGTCTGCGATATTCCAAAATTTGCTGCGATGTTCCGTCTTCACCCTCCAAAACTTCTTGCCCGTTTCCGGCTTCACGACCACGTCTAGTTGCTGATCTGGTACTAGTAGATCCTGCGGATTTCGCTCTTGAAGATCCTCTTGAGCTCATTTTAACTTTTCGACGTGATCGTGAGTTGGTCCGTCACTCCCTCTTCATCTTTTTCTTCTTCTTCCTCACCTCGCTAAGCGTGTGCAATGAAGGAGGGGCGAAACTGTCCGCTGAACTGACCTGCTCGACCACATCAAAGTTCCCTAAACCTCCAACCGGAATCACAGCTGTTTCTCGGCGATGAATGAACATTTCCGAAAATTGGTTTCTATTTATGTAAAAGAATTAAATTTTAAAAGTTTAACAACACAAACATTTGACAAATTTTATTTTAAAGTATTTTAAAACTTTAACCAACACAAACATTGGGAAATTTTATGTTAAAGTTGTAGTGATCACGTCTGACATCAGGTATTGGCAAAACTTTTTTGACATTCTCTTTTAACACAAGCCTCTCGTCTCTAGTTGCGGGGAAGTAAAAATGTGCCTCTTTCTTCCGTAAGAAGTTTACTTATATCTCAGAAGGTGTTGGGTCAACTTCGGTCACTTGCCCCACAAAATAAGTTGTTCCCTTCTTTTTTATAAACTCAACAAATACAAAGTCCCTAATTTAAGGGGTGCACACTTCAAAAAAATCATCCGTCTCCACTTCAAAGTCGTTTGAAGAAACTGAAAATGGATCGATGTCATCTAGGCTATCGTCACTGGCTTCCCACACCTGTTCATCTTCGGAACTGTCACCCTTTAACTGTTTTAACTTTCTATTTCTTTTCTCAGTTTTCTTTTTTTTGGTAAAATTATTCTTCACACTTGAAGCTTTTTTGTCACGCCCTGCTTGTTCTGCTTCTAATTCCACTTTCTCAGGTGTATCAGTCAAAATCCTACACATTTCAATTGTTTCTCGACTTTCGGTGGGGCCTTCGGAAATGGTAAAACTTCTATTGTTGAAAGAACAGTTTACAAAACATCGGCGGAGAAAGGGACAACGCCCTGCTTCAAAACAAACTAAATGAGGGCACAAGGTTAAAGTACTTCTTTTCTTAGGTCCCATCAAACACTGTCATGTCTCTACGGAGAGGAACGGCGGTGATAATATTTTAAGTTGTCAATGTTGTACCTTCCCTTTCGCACCTGGATTTCAGGTTCGACTATTGTTTATTCATTTTGATAAGGGATTTCCTTGACCTCGTAAGGTCCGAAATACAGCGGACACAGTATGGCGGCTCGCTTGATCACCCACAGCCAACTGATCTGTGTCGGGACATTTTTTACGTTGACGTTGCGCACGTCCTAAAAGGTTCTCCCGGATTTCCATGACGGTTAACCCTGTAGAAGGGGGCAAACGATGCCGAATTGCCTACTGCAACACATTCACTGGGTTTTCCCCGTAAATAATTTCATATGGTGAGAAGATTGTAGACAGGTGCGAAATCGAGTTAAATAAATCCTGGCAGGAGCCCACTATCTGAGCCCATCCGGTATGTTTATGGGCGCAATAGGTCCGGAAAATTCGAACCAATTCCTTCATTACCCTTTCGCTGGAATTCGAAGCGGGGTGACGAATGGAGGATAACCTAACCTGTATGCCGTAGAGTTTCAGCTGTGACTGCCAATGTTTGGAGGTGAATTGGGTAACATGATCCGAAACAATCGTCTGAATCCTCTTAAGTCAAACGGTCATTTAAAAGCCGACTTTGTTTGTGAAACTTTAAAGCATGATGATCAGTGCGTATTATAATGTGATGTCCCAACAGTAACGTACGGTATTTTTTCAGATCAAAAATAATAGCAAACAACTCCTTTTTAGTCACGGTATACAATAATTCGGTCCACTCAGAAATCTACTCGCGTAACCCAGAACCAAATGTTCCCCCTCATCATTTTCTTGGTAGACTTCGACTCCCAATGCGTAGCCCGCACTGTCGGCCTAAAGGAAAAACCTTTTTCCGTAATCGGAAAACTTTAACATAACAGTTTAAAGACACAATAACTTGACTTGCTGGAAAACTTCGTCGTTCTCGATCGCGCCCCACTCCCATTTAAGCGACTTAATAATTCTGAACAAACCGCCGATAAAACCCGAACAACCCCTTAAAACCCCGTAGTTGTTTTATATTTTTGGGGGCTGGACATTTTTTAATGCATTCTACCTTATGACAGGGTCCGTGTGTATACCCTGCGACGTAAGTAAATGTCCCAAAAATTTAACCTCCGATTGGACAAAGTGAGGACGTGGTGAGTATGATATTGCAAAAAACAAAATTTTGGATGTAATGCTCTTTTACATTTAATGCATATAAATTTAACATTTTTTTCCACACACATCTTCTTTCATTTTCAGAGTATTCTGGCAAATGATTTGTTTTGTCATATCTTACGTCTGTGGTGGTATTACTTTCCCTTTATTTGATTTTAGTCCATAACTTTTTAAAAGAGTTATTGCCAAGTATCTTCTAAACTTTAGTAAAGCACCAGACACTTCGTGAGATGGATGGATCTTTCGAAAAAGCAGCCAAGCATTAACAACAGATACGTCGAAAAGATACGAAAATATAGGCCATACCATTTTCGTTGCCTCATTCTGGCTATATACGAGTATAGCAACCAAGCCATCCAATTTGTCGACGCCACCCATTCCTTTGTTGTACTTGTCAAACATTTTGGTTTGAGGTATTGCAATTTTAGATTTTGTTTTTCTGCAATAACGTTTAGTTGTTTCTATTTTACTGGATTCAAAATTTGATGCTGCAGTGACAACTTTATTGTCCTTCCATTTATACACTACAACTTTCTTACTACTTGAAAATTTATGTGCACCACGCTTTTGTTTTGCCATAATTTTTTGTTGTTTTTTAGGGGCAATCTTCTAATCTATTATCCCTTACAGTTCCAGTTGTTTGAAAGCTTTAGAGAAGTAAAGTAGTTATCCATAAACAATTTGTAACCACTATTAGGCGAGATTTTGGCTAACATTGTAAGGTTCAAAACTACGCTGACTCCCAAGCCAAACTCCTCTGGTGTTTTTTGGGGGTTATTATTTTTACCGGTATATATTTTAAAACTTACTAAATATCCATTGCTTGTGCACATTGCCCAGTATTTAAAACCAAATCGAATCGGTTTACCTTTTATGTACTGCTTTGTGAAGTGTTTGCTGCAATAAGGGATCAGGCTCTCGTCGATACTCAAATTTTCATCTAGACCACCATATTTTTTAAAACTTTCATTTACTTTATCGATGAGCGGCTGGGATTTCTCTTCGGATGGCTTCCTTTAACTCTGGTATTGTGCGTAAACACGTGATTTCAAGAAACCCCAAAGAAAAAAGTCCGGGACCGTCAAATCGGGGGACCGAGGCGGGAAAAGATTGTCAGATACGTTCCATCTAAATTCGAGCATTGTGGGTCGTAGCCTCCTACACAATAGGACCTTCCTAACCGCCATTTCCCCACTACTTGCCATGTACTACCCATGTCTAACCATGTTTTGTTTAAAAAAAAATATTTATTTTAATGCAATAAATTCTATTTATTTTACACCACATATAAAGCTTATACAGTGGTGGTAATGTATCTTTAGGCCAAATAGTAATAAAGACGCATGCAATATAAAACGTACGAACGAGTGAGATAAACAACCATCAACTTGTTAGTAAACGTGATTTCCCTCCGTCATGAGCGTGCAGTAGACATTTTTAAAACAATTAAATTAATGTTTTTACTTCCCCTTTTTTAACTATCTGCGTTATCCCACCAGACAGGTTTGTAGATTTGCTTTTATTTGATGAACACTTTATTGTCCTTTCATTTCATTCCAATTTCATTCCGAGGGCTGACGTTATGTATCCATATGACATTAGTGCAGAACAGTCTCTAAAACGCGTCCCGGTCGTACTAACTCTGACGGCTGCAAGTGGCGCCTTTGGAAATCGATTGTAGAACATGTCAACGCACGCTACTATCTTCAGATATGTTGCATCATTTATCCAGTTGGAGAATTCGGCCACGACGTCAGTCAGGCTGCCGGCTGTCGATTTGAAACTCTTCATTTGGTCATTAATGCGCTCGCAGAGGGTTGAACGATAGTCTTGTTCTGTGGCCCTTACCAACCTGTAAATGCCAAGTAGATACGTAGCCATCCATGCATAGTCATCCTCGGCTGCTGGCTTTGAATCGTGGTTTGCTGTCTCTTGTTCTTCTTGGAGTTCGACCATACTGAACGGATTGCACTTATTTCCAGCTTTGCATATAACTAAGCCATATGATTTCCAATCCTCATCCGCTTCCATTTCCTGAAGTACAAAGTATTGGACTAAGAAACAATTTACTACCTTTATATCAAGCTTCCTTGTAGAAATTGCATTCTTGATAATAGAAGCAACTTGTTTAAAATCTCCTACTTTATAATATTTCAGCTTGGGTTTTTGATCCGGATTCGACTTGAACCAATCAGCTGGGTATTGTACTTCAATCTTAGATGAAGGCGCAAGTGGTGTCACGACTGTCCCTGTGGATACTCTTTTCATAGATGCCGCCATGATCAATTGGTTATCTTCTGTTGTTGAAACACTATAACTTTTTTACTACTTAAAAATTAAGGGGTAAGTTGTCCAAAGCATTTGTAACTTCTTCCTGAAAAAATTCTAAAAAACTTTGACCATTTAGATTTCCATTTAAAAAGAAAGGTCCTATGAGCCTATCTTTTAGAATACCGCACCACACGTTTACTTTTTGTGAGTACTGACTTCTACAATTAATAATCCAATCTGGATTATTTACAGACCAATGTCTAATATTTTGAGATGAGACTACTCCATTAGTAGTAAAGGTTGCTTCATCAGTAAATAATACATGTTTAAAAAAATTTGGGTTATTGAGATATTCGCCCTGTGCCCATAGACAGAACTCCAATCTTCTTTCATTATCCCCTGGCAGTTGAGTGTGTAAAAATTTAGGCTTGTAAGGTTTTACTTTATTAATTTTTAAACATCTTCTTAAGGATTCTTTTGAAATATTTAAATCTAAGCTAGCCTTTCTTAAACTTACTTTCGGATTGTTATTAAAATAATTCAGAATTATTTGATCATTTGGTCTTTGCCGTTGACGTGGATTATTATTTCTTAACTTCTTTAAAACCATACCAGTTTCATTAAATAATTTATTTATTTTAAAAACAGTACTACTGCTTATAGGCTGCCTTCCCGGATGCCTATTATTAAATTCTCTAGCTGCTTCTCTCGCTGAACGAACGTTATCTCCTACTAAACGGACAATTTCAATTTTGTGCTCTAAATTTAACTGATGGGCCATAATGATTGTAGATAAGAACTTTTAAATACACTGTTAAAAAATACACTAAAAGGACGCTACTATTTTCTGTCAAATCGCCTGTTTTTGGTTTGACGTTTGTTTGAAGTTGTAAGCATAGCTATCTATATCTAATCATTAATGATTATAACGTAAAAAAATAAACTTGCCCAAAATAGTTATTAATTGTTTATTTTTGATGAAATTTGGTATATACCCATTTTAAAGCCTGCCAAACTCGGTGGCGTACCTATTTTTTTCCTAAACCTTTTATATGTGTTTCTATTGTCGTTATAAACATTTAAAAAATCAAAAAATAAACCGTTGTAAAATAATTATCAATCGATTGTTTTTAATGAAATTTGGTATTTACCGATTTTTAAGCATGCCAAATTCAGTGGCGTTCTTATTTTTTTCGTAAAAATTACCCTAAATGTTTTTTTTACACAGAAAAAAAATTATAGTAGGCATGTGTCGGGTGACTTTAAAAACAACTTTAACACGTTCGCGACCGTCAGCTTTAACTGCGTTGTTCGTTGTATACCAACAGCTATATCTTCTGGATAAATTGTTTCTATGAGGTGAAATTTGAAATGACACATCTATAAAGAGAAATAAGGTTGACGTGATATTCTGCAGACAGTGCCATTTTAGTGGCTCTCGGTATATAAATAATCATAACAATTTATATACCACATACCACTATAGTGGTAGATTCTAGTTTCACCACAAACCCTTATTTTTGGCTTATAAAAAGAAATATAATGGTATGCAAGTATGTATGTCTTTATTTTACAAAAAAAGTAACAAAAGAAACATTTTTTAAACTAAGCATGATAATTAAATGGACTACATGGTAACTATTTCTCCGTATGCCATTCCCTAAAACATGGATCTACGCAGAGTCCTGGAGAATCTGGACACAGAGAGCAACAGTATCGGGTTCTGCGTCGCTGTTTTTTTTTTAGTGCAACATCTACATTGCACAATCCCTTTTTTGTTCTTTTCAGTTGTTGGAACTAACCCAGGAAAATGTGGTGACTCGCTTGGATTTTGGGCTTTTTTTGGTATGGCAACATTTTGAATAAGATCTTCAATAACTTCTTCTCTGAATTGTAAAAAAGCTATTTTACTTTTTGTTATTTTTTTGAATATGTAATACCCATTCCATATAGCTATATCAAATAAGTGAAAAAATATTTTTCGATACCATCTCAGAGTTTTACGCGGAATTGAGTAATAAGAAAGCATTTGATCTGCACGGTCTATGCCTGACATGTGCTTATTATAATCTAACACACATGCTGGTTTTATTTTGTTGGCACCTCTTTTTCCTGAATGTTCAACCATCTGATGCTTGTGTTTCGTACTAATCATGCGAACATCTCTCTTATCCTTCCACTTTGTGACCAAAACAGGACCCTTACTTTTAAAAACAGCTTGGCCTTTTTTAATTTCGTTTTCAAAAGATCTTTCGGATTACCTTGGCGGTTTTCTCGTAGGGTTCCTACTACATGCGTTTTTTGCTGATACAAGTATTCTGCCAAGCTGACACTGTTGTAGTAGTTATCCATGTAGATTACGTGTCCTTTGTTGAGATAATCTTTCATAAGTTCTCTTACCACTGCTTCACTATGAGAAAATTGATCAGAAGTGAGGGAACCTTTTCCAGTATAAACGATAATATTTAAAATAAATCCGTCATGATTAGTTAATTCATATAACTTAATGCCATACTTGTGGCGTTTGTTTGAAATATACTGTCTGAAACTAAGTCGACCCCGCCACAAAATCATAGCCTCATCTATTGATAGTTCTTTATTAGGGTAAACAGTTTGCTTTATATTTCTCACTACCATATCCAATATATTTCGAATCTTGTGCAAACGATCTGTTAAATCAACATGATCATGATCAACTAATCGTAACATTCTAAGAATTTGGAAAAATCTATTACGGCTCATTGTTTTGCCAAAAACAGGATGATAGTAAATGCTTTTGCAATTCCATTGTTTAGAAATGCTAGGAAATTTTACAACACCCCCAGGGCACATAAGCCAAGGAACTTTTTAATTTCTTCATTTGTCAAATCCTTCCATTTAGTGATCTGCGTTCTCCTTGTTGGACGCCGTTGGTTTTGTATGAATTCGTTTGCTCTTTTGTTGGTTTCTCTAACAATGGTATCGATAATGTTCTTGTCAAAAAATAATTCTACGTAATTCAATGGTCTTGCATTCTGAGTCAAATTAGTAGTAATATTAGGTGTTCCTATAAAGTCAAACTCTTCAGGTTCTTCACTGCGTTGTGCCCAACCGTGTTTTTCATCTGATACGTATTTTATCTTCCCATGTTTTTGTTTGGTTTTAGTTGAAACATCTTCATTGTCTTCTGGCTCTTCGACTTCTATTTCTGCGGTTTGGTGCTGCGATTGTTCATTGGGCTCATATTCTTCATTATTTTCTGAACTATCGCTCAAATCACTGCTTGACAGTTCATATAACTTGTCTTCTAGCGAGTCATCAGAACAACTGTTCTCAGAATCGCTAGATACTTCAGCGAAAAATTCTTCATCGGATTCGTTTAGTGCTTCCTCGAGCTCTTTTTGGGTAAGCGATCGCTTTGCAGAACTTTTAGAGAGTCTGAGTCTTTTTACACCGCTCGGCCTAAAACAATAAATAAAAATAGATATATAGAAAGAAATCTCCAAATCATAAAATTTATATAGGCGTCCATAACAACTATCGTTTTTATTTTTTGGACAATAATCGATTTTTTTAGAGCAATAATAAAAATAAACAAGTAATACTTACCCTGGAGAATTATTATCACCCATATCACTTTATTTTTGCAAAAAAACGAGTCACTACACTCACTACTGACACCAGACTAACACAGTGAAACGTCAATATTAGTTCACATAACCTAACAATACACATTCAGGAAAGGCCAAAAATTACTGCATTTCTAGAACCAAATACCACTTTAGTGGCATACATATGGTTCAAGTATATTCCCTACTACCGGCAGTATACGAACGAAGCAACAGAAGCGCACCGAGGCAAATCTACACTCGCTTAAAATACATGATAAATTTTGCCACTATAGTGGTAGTCGGCTGGGTACGACAGATACCGAACGCCACTATAGTGGTAGTTGGTCGCGAACGTGTTAACAGCTCTAATAGAGTTTTTTATTCTCTATCTTTTGAGCCTTTGTTCAATAAAATCGGGTTACAAATAAAAAAGTTACGGGGGTGTTTCCATCTTAAGTGGGCCACACTATATATATAATTAATATAATAAATAATTGATAAATTCTAGTATAAAAAATAACATATAAATGATAAATTATGGTCTAAGTATAAATATTAAATAATAATAATATAATATTTTACAATGTCCACCCTTCCATATAAAAAGGGCTTTCTTCTTCTTCTGCCTCTCTGTCATCAAAGACTAGGTCTGCCTGTAAATAAATAAATATAGATAAATACTTCATTATTTAAAAAAATAATTGTTTACCTCTTTAATTTCATCATCTATAGGGTTATAGGTAAGTTCTTTTAGGTAAGTTTACAACATGTCGTCAAGTTCTTGATCCGCCTATAAATAAATAAAATATAAATAACTCCTTAATTATTATTATTATAAAAAAATTCTACCTCTTTATTCCCATTAGTTGCAGTGGTATAGCCGATTTCTTCCTGGTAGCCGTACGGAACGGTATCGCAGCTGTTATCTAGTCTTCGCCTTTTAGTATAGCCTATTCTGTAAATTTTTGGCTCTGGTCGCGATATTACATCGTAATTTGCCGTTATACAAATTTTACGATTGTTATGTACATATGTACGCTCTGCATTATCGCATACCGTGGCTTTCAGAGTTTCAAAATTTACGTTTTCACTATTTTTTGAATTAAGAGTTATACCCTTTACTTTGCATATAGAATTATATTCTTTCTTATTTGCTATATAAACTCTGTAGGCGTAATTTTTAGGTCCATCGCTAACAAACTCCGTAATTTTACTACCAGGACCGTATTCAGTTATTTCGTCTGTTAACATACCCAAATAGTCGCCTATGGGGGGTAGCCAATCCCCCTCTTTATGTGTGAATATAATACTATCTGTGTCAAAGTAAAGTACTCGCCTATCAAGTTTTTCTAAATAAGAGTAAAGTTCTAATCGGGCCATAGCTGTGGTATACGAGGCCACTGCGACATTAACAGTTGT